CTACAATGACTCTCTCCTAATGTAGCATACATGACACTACCAATCAGTTGGGATCCTGGACGTTTATTTCCTTCCTTTTTGCATTTGTTTCTTTGATTTTTGTGTGATCAATTTCGTCTCTCTGGTAAGATGGTAAAGTAGCGTCCAACATCGACCTCATTTGCATAGGGGGTTTTGTGATATATAGCGGCTGCCGAAGGAAGTCGCTACTCACTTGCTATCCTCTTGTTTTTAGGAATTCGCTGAGTTTCGCGTCCCCTCTCAATGCATCGTCAGAGATCCTCATTGCCTTTCGCTTCTATCGATTTCCCAAAACCACAACACCCATGTAAGTTCCGTTCCCAATGCCTTGCTTCCAAGAATCTTCGTTCTTGATGGAGCAGGAATTGCCGGTAGAAACAAACTTCCCGGCCTCTTTCCTCCGATTGTCCCTTTCTAAACCAAACTGCTAAAAGGGAAAGGCATTATGCAGCCCCCAACGCTTCCTTTATAAAGAATACATAGGCTAAAGTGATAGAAAGTGTGTAACGTTTTACGGCGTACAAATTAAGACTACATGAAAAAAACTATCATAGCATTTAAGGTAAGTACCATAGGTAAAAAAAGACACAGGTCGGTTGACCAATTACTATTTACTAACATAAAAATATTTAATTTTCAAGAAAACTGGAAATTGATGTAATGGCTATATGAAAAGTCACTCATCCAATGTTAAATATTAACGTGTTTTAGGCAGGGGAGCGCAAAAAATAGCAAATAACTACAAAATTAGTACAAATACAAGATGATACTACTTTGCTTAGTTTCCACCAACATTATAATAGCAGTAAGTCTGTCAGACATAGCTGTGTACAAATTCGAGTTTTTCATGCATTGAAAGATTCTTCCTTGCTTTATGCCAATTTCTTTTGAAAATTGCAAAAAGATTTTCTATAAGATTTAAGTCCAGACTGTTGGCAGGACTAAAATAGATTAAAGGCCACAGGCGGAGAGGCAGGTTGTTGTCTTTAAAACTAAATGACAGTTGTACATCGGATCAACTTCATACCTCACTGAACGGTGAGCTGAAGCATCATCCCGTAAAATTATATTGTTCATTTTGCGCCTATGGATGGCGTTGTAACCGAAGGCATCTTTTAGGATAATAATGAAATCACCGGTGAATGGTGAGTAAAACATCCAACGCCAAAGTGACAAAACAAAGCACTAAGCTAACTACTACGAATTAAGGGCAAAATTAATTTGTAGGGCCCCTCAAGATATCTATCCCCCTCGCCCAACTGCTTAACGTATTTTGTGGTCAAATACTTAATTATTGGCTAGTGAGTGTAAATGAATATGTAATTGTGGTGGAAGTGATCAAAAATATTAAATTAAATAAGATTATGTTTGTTTTAATGTGCTAAAATAGAATGAAATTCAATCAACATAAACTTCTGTTGCGCAGGATACGAATGCTAATCGAGGAAACTTGGACCTTATGTAGGCGTAATTTAACGAAAATGGAAATTCGTCCTCCTGTTGGTGGAATTTAACGAAAAAAATTTGAGTCTGGCTACCGAACATTAACGAACAGTTTTTTATTATGAGTCGACGGGATTTTTGGGGCCTCTGAAATCAATATTGTCGAAATAGGTACGCAGTTACGAAAGTAAGCAAGGGGTCGATGGTGGCATTAAGCTCTCCTTACCAAATTACTACAGTAACATGGAGAGTTTACCTCGTATAATTTTCCATTTCATAAAAATGTGCTCACATTCAACTCTTGTGATCCAGGAGAGGCCTCAGTGTCAAAATTCGTTCGGATCTTTTTTTTCATTTAGAGAAGTGATTGCCAAACGCCACTGCAGTTTAAAAGTTGCCTTTACTTTTCATCTTCGATCTTCTCAGCTTTACGCCACCTTTCCGCATTGCAATTTACTCTTTATCCTTGTTAGGCGTTTTAAGCGAGCTCTCATTCTTCTCTTTTTTCTCGGATGCCCTTTCAGCCTGCGTCTGTCTGAAGCACAGAATGAATTTTCGCAACTCGTCGGTGGGAAAGCCTTCCTGATTCGGAATGAGGTGGATGCGCAGACGAAGCCCAGTATCGAAAATCCTCCTGGATACTGCGTAAGAGACGGCTTTTTGGCGTTTTAATTGGTGGATGGATGTTAGCCGATCGGTTAGGGGACTCACACTTCCAGTTCTGCCTTGGGGCTTAGTCTTGAGCCCCGCCAGAAACTAGTGCACAGCGGTTAGTCCTGTAGGAAGATGAACTTTGCCGACTGGGATGACAGGATAACGAGGCCGTGGCTCAATGGGTTAGATGGTTGAATTTCTAATCAGCACATTGCGGGTTCGCGCCTCAGATGATGCACTACCTGGGGCTGGGTATCACTGGCTGATGATGGCTAACAGGTCAGAAATGCCCATTTCAGTCAGCTTTGTCCTATTAGTAATGCACTTCAGCCTATAATATCTGCTAGCAGCTGTGTAAATGCTAGCGGGGCTCGGAAACGAGTCTTTGGGCACAACGCGGCGAGTACAGCCCGTAACCGATCAGTAAGTTTTTATCCACCAGCGCTAATATTTCCGACCTAAACCGCCAAGGCAACAAAGTAAGAAGTCAATAAATTAAACGGTTAAATTTGTAGTCGCAGGTTTGCGCGTCGGTTCGGGTAGAGCATCATCTGGGGCTGGGTCTGACTGACTGATGACGGCTAACAAGTCAGAAATGACCATTCTAGTCTTCCATGTGTTTGGCTGTAATGTACCTCACCATTAAATTCATGCCAAATGTTTTTCCAACCACCGATTTCATTGTGTCTTTATCATCCATGGTACAAGGCCTGTAATTTATGCCAATTTTCATGGCGTTAATTCTATTAACTGACTGGCTAACGAAGGATTGCATAAAATTACCAATCATGTATTAGACCAATCAGTTCACTATCTTGTTTTCACCACGGGAGTAGGTGATATTTTTTAAGCAAAATAAAGGGAACAAAGTGAGTGGTGAATTAAAAAAGAAGGCCAAATTACAAAAAAATCCAAAACAGTTAAACAGAAAAGGACGAAGTCGAAAAAGATATGAGAGAAAATAAGAGGGAGCGGTCTAGGGGCAAAAAGGAAGAAATTGGGAAACGAAAAGTGGGTAAGAAATACACGAAAAATACAAGCGAACATGCGAATCTCAGGAAGTAATTGAAAGGAAGAAGAAGAAGAAGAAGAAGAAGAAGAAGAAAACGAAGACGAAGACGAAGAAGAAGAAGAAGAAGAAGAAGAAGAAGAAAATACGATCGTTGGGACAAGACTTTTATTCGCCTGACTTTTCGACATCCAGCGCCGATGCTTCATTACAGACATCCGCAGAAACTAGTAACAGAAGTGGGTTATACATGCACAGGAATTTTCAGTATTTATAGGATACAGTCATTACAGCACACTTATGACAATGACGTGTAAAGATAATTGCCCTCTTGTGCGTGGATCGCTTGGTAACCGGTATGCGGGCCGTAACCTACTGAACTTGCATCACGCGTGGTGGCATGGGACGTGATGATTGTTCAGCCAACTGGTTCTCCGGTGTTAGTGTACGACGACGCGGTTACCTGTGCGTTCTCCAAATGGCCACTTGCTTTGGCTAAATTGAGGCTCAGCATCCAATATGGATTGGATAGGTCGTTACACTTGTTTCTGGACTGCCAACAAGAAACATTTGGAGTCATCTATAGGATCTGGTGCAGTTGCGGTCAAGGCACCCACGTCGGAGGAAACAGAACCCTTATCAAGACGCGAATCGTCGAACATGCGGCAGCAGTGCTGCGAAGTGATTTCCATTTTGAAATTTAGGCTCATGCTACGATACCCGGCCACACATTCAAATTGGATGAGGCCGAAATTCACGCAAGAGGTGACAATCGTATGAATCGAGAATTACTTCAGTTATAGTTCACGGGCCCCCAATCCATAAACAGGTGCAACGACCTATCCGATTTTGATGTCGAACTTCCATTTGGGCAAAGCAAGTTCGTCCTCTATGAAACGCACAGGCCACCGCGTTGTCTTGCACCAACACCAGGAAACCAGATGGCCGAGCAATCGTCACGCCCAATTCCATCACGCGTGATGCAAGTTCAGCAGATCACGGCCCGCATGCCGGTTGGCAGGCGATTTACGCACAAGAGGTCAATTATTGTTGTAATGAGTGTGCAGTAATGACTCTGTCCTATAAATACTGCAACTTCCTGTGCATGCATTATCCGCTTATGCTACTATTTTCTGCTGATGTCTCTGATGAAGAATCCGAGAGAGATACCGAAACTTCAGGCGAATAAAAGTCTTGTCTAAGTGATCGCATCTTCTTTTCAAATACAAGAACAATCCGCGAAACGAAATTGAGAATCAAATGGAGAGTAAATTAAATTAGACAGCCGAAATGACGTCAAAGCAAAAATCGTATGACATACACAAAAACTGTACAATGGTAGTACGCGAGTAAGTTTTAAGAAATGAAATAGGATTGTGCCAAGCGCACAAGAGGCTGCTCTCAGTCGTACTATGTGAAATGATCTCTTCTCACTCGGTCGTGAAAGGCGGTTGCGAAGCCATAGGTCATTTGTTGGAACGAGAAAAAATGATTTTTAGGAGTTGAACCTCTACAAACTCCAATCGGAAAGTAAATTGAGATCTTATTCGAGCGAGAAGTGATATGTAATTCTTGACTTCCTCAGAATACAGGGGCAACAGTAGCTTATGCGGTTCCCCTCATATATCCCTACTCCCAGCATTTGTCCCTCTAAAACGGTGGGCATACGCTTTTACGGGTGGGGACTTAGGACACGGAGTGGATTATACTTTAATAACTGCTATATGCATTATAATTTTATTGTTTTTAGAAGTGTTGTTAATTTATTTCTGCAGATTTTCCTAATCTGTATTATCGTTTAGCGTATTGCGGAAAAACCCGATTAGTAAATCGCAGGTTTCTTGAAATTTCCGAATGATTAAAAAGGTGGTTAGGAGGTCGTCTACTTCAACTTACCTGAGATCCAACTTACCGTTCTTGAGTTAGATTATTATAGTCCGCGGCGCGAAGCGCAGCGCATATCTTCAATTTATATGCGCAGCAACTTACTCTCAGCGGCCGCGGGAAACAACTTCGACTGCATTTTTCGCTTAACACCTACTACTAAAAATTTTCCTCTCTGCCTATCCCCACCCTCCAAAACCCTATAACCACCGTTTTCGTAGGGCAAAATGCTGAGACTAGGGGTATATGAGGGGAACTACATAGGCTTCTTTTGCTGAATATAGGTACTAAGCTCTTTCAGACTTGATTAACAGCAAAAGCCCAACGGAACGAAACCTGGTTATCTTTTCTGCTAGCTTAAAAGTATTTGGAGGCACATGCAACATAGAGGAAAAGTGCTACCACAGAAACAAATATCGTCATCCAGAACGCGTATGATATCCGTCCTTAATATTATTGATTTATCGATTTAAAACAGGTCTCTTTCCTAAGCTTTTCATGCTGCTTTTCAGGTGATCATGCTAGACTGTCACTTTCATCCCTTTCTTCGTCATAAAAAAGACGTAAATCTTCCCATTTCTTTCAAAAAGTTGTCCTGCAAGGAAAGTTAAAAGTACTGTTTTCATCAACATAAAACCACTGCATTTCTACAGCATACTTACCTGTTTACTTCTAGGTTTCATTCAACGTTGACCCACTGTTTCTCCGGTTGGGAGAAGATGAGAGATTCCTGCAGTTTCTCCTCACCAGTTCTGTTCACCTGGAAATATGGAGCGCAGAATCCATGATGCTGATTGGAACAACCTCCGTGGCGCTTAAGGTAGGAATTATGCCTCCCTTTTGATTCCCTCTCCTAAACTCTACCCTTTTGACCGGCTGCCACTGCAACGCCACCCACCGTTGCATCTTCACAAGGAGTGTTTTGTCCATTTATGAGTGAAAATTGTATGCTTCTATATACTCAAAATAATTTTACTTAAAAAACACAAATCAAACCGTTAGAAAGTAGAGATAAAAATGTCTATGTAAAAATAAAAGAGAGACATCCTTTATTTGGAGGGTAAATATCCAAACTTTTTGGCAAAAGGGCTCTATTCGCGAAGAGCAATGGATAAGGTAAGGTAAAAGGTCATACAATACTCAAAGTGTAAAGGTTTACATGATATCCACATCTGTTATAGAGACAGGTCAGTTTTCAACTTCTCAATTTCCGCTTCTTCACACGTGAGGTAGCGTGCTAGGAATTGGGAGTACTAGAGTGCTGATATGCCGATGTAGGGCAAAACATATGACAGGAGCTTCGGCGCATAGTACGGGAAGACTTTGCAGCCCTTATTTAAGAGCGGAGAGAGTGAGCGACCTCACTAAGGATGCGATCATCAAATTGCTTGACCGTTTTAAAGTGTCGCTGTATGATAATTTCAGCTAAAGAAAACCATAGGAAACACCGGCCTCTGAAGGGAGCATTCGGAGGGTACGTTTAAAAATGACCAGCTCTTTTTAAGAAAGACTGGAAAAATAACTGGAGAGCAGTAAATAATGAGGGGGGAAGGATGCAGGCATCTATAATTCGCCAGATTAGGGCTTGCAGTATGCGATATGAACACAAAGAGCGGATATAATATTAAAGTTTACGAATTATAAAGGTGAGGCCTTCAATTTGAAGAGTAAATGAGAGGTTAGATGCCAGAGTAACGCCAAGGTACTGCAAAGACGATATGTCATTGGAAAGAATGTTAATAGATTCAGGACTGGGAGAGGGTCGTAATCGAAAAACACACTGGACTGACTTCTGGTCATTTAGTAGAAGGCCATTTGCTGACGACCATGGTCCAGGAGATATATCAGATTGGAATGGCCAATTTAACCCACCTGTGGAAACCCTTGCGTCCTCTAGGACTCGAACCCATACTAGCAAGGGAAAGGCTTAAGTGCAACCAACGTCCTAGTTAACCGTGAGTTTTTAGTCACATCTAGGTCAGTTTATCCGCCCAGCCTACTGCAACGCATAGACTCCACCAATTCTGATACAGGAAGCAGACTGCTCAAGCCTGATTGCATAAGCAATTAATCTAGAACCCACTAGATAACTACCACAACCACTTAATTAGGCAGCTTGAATAATTCTTTTGACTCCTTTGCGAAGACCTCGCGGCCACCGAGGCAAAACACGTGTCTTGGCTTTCTACTAGTACCGTACTGCTAGTTTGACATATCGTTTAATCTCAGTTAATACTACTAGCTGCCTAATGACACTTTAATCAATATTATGCGGTCATCTCGTTTTTGCTGTTAGACTTTGGCTCAAATATTCATATCAACTGTTGGTCTGCGCCTATAAACCTTAGTTCAGATTGATTTAATCGAAGGTATCGATTCAGTTCATATGAAAATAAAAAGAAACCCGTTCTAAACCGAGGTATCAACCAGAAAACACACTATGAATTCTAAGAGCCCTACTGGTGCACCAACAACTTCGCAGCTTTTTCATGCAGTGGCGGAATATATCAGCAAAACAAGTGTGTCTAAGCTCTTACTTGGTAACTGTACTTCCAGTGGGCTTTTTAAATTTAGCCGCCATACTTACCTTCTCTCCATTCGCATGTAAAATTTTCTTATACGCAAATCGGTAGGTCTACTACGCTAATTATAAACCGATTTTTATCTCTCTTTGTTTATTTGTACTAAAAAGACGTCACTGCACGACGCTAGCCTC